CTCGAAAGCAGAAGTATTTTAGGGGCTAAAATTTCTAGTGCATTTAATACATCCACAGGGGCATTCAAATATATCAAAATTGTAAAGAATCATTATCCACCCAATTTTCAAAATTTACCAAAACTTTGTAATACCTTTAATGCTGTTGATGAATTATATAAGAAAGGTTTTTTCCCAAATGATGTCGTTCATAGGGAAATTTCAAAGACATGATGATGATGATGATGATACAACACGATCTCATCTAATTTCGAAAACTCAACCTCAGGCAAATTGAATAGCCTAATTGTGCGTCCCGACAATTAAGATATACATAATCCGAGCTTGGTTTCCATGGCATGTATATCGGGTATTGATATTGTCCTTGAGTTAATGTTTCGAAAATAGATGCGATCTTGTTATAATGACAACACCAATAATAATTCTAATAGTAATAGCAATACTTCTAATAATAACATCAATAATAATACAAATAATAATAAGTGAATTCTGTCTATAAAGACCAACCGTGAGAGTCAAGAAAAGTGATCTATATAGGCAGGTGGTCCTTATGTACAGGTTACTTTTAATTAGTACATTTTTCAATAAGAAACCATTTTCAAGGGAAATAAAGATGTGGTCTGTGTAGACATGTGGTCTATCTATACAGGTGGTCACTAAAGCAGGGTTGAATGTAATAATGATGATAATAGTAAGTGATGATGATGATGATGATGATGATGATGATGCTAATTTAATGAAGAAGATGATAATGGTAATATTGATAATGACATTGATGATAGCTACATGTATCCTCCCAATGATGCACGAAGTACGCCATCTTGTTCTTAGCAACGCTGCCCTATAGCCTATTAAAGGGATAGTTGAGTTCTGTTGCAGAGGGCGCTACACAAAATAATTTTGTTTGTAAGATGATGAAAAACCGAGTGTCAAATTTGAAAGAACATAATATTTAAATGACAAAAATCATCTTTATTTGATCAAAATCGGTTCAGAGACTGCTGAATAAAAACAATTTCTAATACTTGTGTACCACCACAAATATTAGATATTTTGAAAAAAATTAAAAAAACCGTTAAAAGAACGAAATAACGCCTTTTACGTCGTATTTCAGCCAATGCCGATGTTGGCTTTTTTGTTGGCATTTTCTTGTTGCTTATATTACAATATTATGATTAACGGACACCGTGTTCTTTTTAAAGTGGAGCTGAAATGGTAAGCTCGTATTGGCTAAATTTCACACATTTTGGGGTCTAAAATTACCTTCATAGCAATTTTAGGTTCTAAAAGGGCACTAGAAATGTCATAGATAAGAATAAGAGCAATAACCATGCACTTTGAAGGCATTTTTGGTCTGAAAACAGAACTAAAGTATCCATTTAAAGGTGCTAATGGCGCCATAGAGAATTCCTTCTGTTGATCGAGATCGGTATATGCAGGTTGAAATACCATGCCAAATGACATTAGTGCTGCGGCTGTGACTCAAACCATATGATGAATAATAATTTGATGACATTTTTCATCCAATATAGCACGTCATCTGTATGTCTTACGATTTAATAGACTGCAAGCTATATCTGTTACTGGTAGATTATGTGACACATGAATATCAACAACTTAATGTGGTTGGATTAGAAAGTGGCGCTTGTAAAATGGCGACTGGCTGAAATGTGCATAATATTGTGTTGCGGGTAAGCCTGAATCCGATGACCGGGGTAATAATATGTGATGCGCTTAGAAACAAAGTATTATGCCCATTATAAATGTGAGCTTTTATTATTATTATTATTATTATTATTATTATTAAAGACACATTGTCATGTATTTCTTACATACAATAAACGCTATACGGCTGCGGGAGTAGATTCCATGACATTTGCTCCGGCGACAATTGCTCCGCTGTAAATTTCATACACTAATCGAATGGCTAACTTCAACCCTGGATTCAACACTATACCCTACCCTAAACCTAACCCTAAACCTAACATAAAACCCTATTGAAACCCTAACCCTAACCCTACATCTTAGACGAAATAAAGCCCGGAGCAATTGTCGCAGGAGCAAATGTCGTGTCACCCGGGAGAAATAATAACAAAAGTTCCCTGGGAGCGCGTAGAGATGCTCTCGCCCTGTTAGAGCTTGAATAAGACAAAACACCGACTCAAATGATTATGTTTAAGTCAATTTATGTTCACACTTCCAAAAAGAATTCATATAATCCATGGTAACGTCTTATGCAATTGTACATGTACCTAATTGGTCTTGCACATAATTTTATCCTGGTGCCTTTATTGTGCAAGTATCTTTCTCTACTCCGCTCTAACTTCATATGTTTTTCTTCTTCAGGATTTACCTATCGATATTTTTCATGTCTTATCGAAAATATCTTCTTTTTCAGCCCCTCCCCCTTTACATCAGACGTTTTATTGTAAAAGAAACTATAGATTAAAAGTCTAGTTTATTCCTATTAACAAGAGTATGATTGTAAAATAAAAGAAATATGATCAATTGCTGACAGCTGAAATAAAAAAAAACAAGTTCATGGCCTGAGAGTTTTTGCTAGGATCCCCGGGGAAAGGGGTGACAGAGGTCAAAGGTTATGTGGTGTCAGAGGATGACGTCACATAGCAACACACCACGCATCCTAGGAATGCAAAGTACTGCAGGCAAACCTACAAGAAATTATAGTCATTGTGTGAGGTCCTGTCAGTGCTCTTCATAATACATATTGATGTAACTCCTATTTTTCAATTTGAAGAGGCATCGGGCACAGATGGAGGGGATGTCGAAATAAATCATACATTTCTAGAATATATGTGCCGATATGATTAAATTAGGTTCAGGTTTGGACACGTGGAAATGAATGATGAATACCGATCTTTAAACCGAACTCAGTAGACAGTGTTACACCGCAAGAACGTTAGCTCGAAAAGTATTCTATGTCACAATTATAGTGGCATTTGCCATACGTCGTGCTTGCAGTCTACACACGTACATGCCTGAAATGGGTCATTTTTGTATAGGTTATTGGCAAAACAAGCAACACAATGAACAGTATACAAACTGTTTATCGTTGGAAACATGGGCTTCGTTGATCACAGGGGACAAGCCCTCTCCACCCTTGTGAAAGGGACAGGGAAAGAAGGGAGACAAGAGACGAGAGAGGGTAGGACTCTCACCTATTAAACACACATAACAAAACACGGACCGACCGAAATACGGGTGGCAGTACAACATGAATGAAAATATTTTAAAGTATTTTATTGAGTGAAATAAATTAAAAGATGAAGAGCTGACGCTTGATAATCACGCAGAAAAGACTTTTTAAATTTGAATTTAAACTAATTTAAACTGGGGGCATTCTCGATTCAAACATCAAGAATGGTCCAATGCTTTGGGCCTTCATAAGTTAATATGGATTTAGCAAGTATAGTTCTAGTTAATAACCTACCCAACGATATCAGAATTATTAATGTTTTTAAATCTTACAACATTGAGATTAGTCAAATTCAAGATATTTGCTCACTTCTTTCATCTCGTAGATTTTTTCCCCCTCTTCTTGTCACTATGATTCTTTTTTGTACTTAATTTTCTGTAAATATGTTCACTTATTATAACTTGCATATTTGTTTGTAAATTGTATTTTCATTGTTTTATATTCTGTTCTAATTATATGTAATCACGGCCTCGCTGAAAAACAGCTTTTGCTGGATGCGGGCACAATTGTATTTTTGTTTTTAACCGTGAATAAATAAAATATACTATACCATACCATACCATTAATGGCAGATGGAATTCGTCAGATTGGCACGTGGGGGTATTTGTGTATAGTTTTATTTTTGATGAATATTAAATTAAAGAGTGAGGGTAGCGTATTATTATTAAAATGGTACATGAACTGACCGAGGCTATAACGATATAAATCATTTATCTTCAAAATATTATTTTCAACAAACATAACATCAGTAGGGGATCTTCAGGAAGTGATACAGATAACACGCATAGCTTTCTTTTGTAGAAGTAGTATTCTATGAAGATAAGAACTGTGTGTATTACCCCATACAATATTGTCATAATTTAAGTAGGGCAAAATTAATGTCGAGTAAAGCATTAGCAGGGAGGAGGTTGGCAGAAAAAACTTAACCTCATTTACAATCCCTATATATATATTGCGAGAAGTTGTTCGGCAAATGCTATCAATTTGGATTCTCCATGAGAGTTTAGTATTATCTAGTTTAACATTATGTGGTAAGTTACTTATATAATTGCTGAAGAGCATTTGTTTTTCGTAAATGTAATGATAACTTATATAGCTCTTATCCATTGTAACAATTTATCTAATTCAATATTTAGTGTATTGACCAAAATTTCACGAGATGCATGTGAGAGGAGTACATTCGAATCATCTGCAAATAAGAGAAAGGAGATTAGAGAAATTTTGGATATCGTTTATATAGGTAACAAATAAAAGTGGGCCCAAAGTGGATCCTTTTATATCATATTCATAGTTATTTCAAACGGTTATGCCATAGTTTCTCATGAAAAGTTTCCTTCCTTTACTTTAGCCCATAACATCTTTAAGCAGGAGAAACAGTATTTTAAGAATTTCTATATCTGGTTCAACTTTCCGGAGTGTTGGCTCAGTCAGTAGAGCGTCCGCCTCACAACCGGGAGGTCGTGGGTTCGAAACCCGGCCGCGTCATACCAAAAGACGTTAAAAGATGGGAGTTGTTGCTACCTTGTTTGGCGTTCAACAATAAGGGATAGAGCAGCGTCGATCTGGCGCTGCTCAGTGGCTGCCGGGCTCACGATCAATTGGGAAAAAAAGAATTTCCGTTTCGGTTTAATAAAATTTGGAGTGGACTATTAGGCTATTATTATTATTATTACTTAATAACATTTGGAGTGGACTTTAAAAGATTATTATTATTATTATTATTATTATTATTATTATTATTATTATTATATGTTCAAATATGTTTACCCATTCTTTGTCACAGCTATGCAATGTCCTGAAAACCTGTGCTGACATACTCAACCAAACTTGCAGAAATATCAGCCATCTACCGGATAAGTTCTTTTGTAACGGATCAACAACAAAAATCATTTCAAAATGGCGTGTAGCATTGACAAAGATTTTCTTCACATCAAGATGGTTTACTTTGCCTACCTCGGTGGTAAGTACATGACAAATTACCAGGATTTTAAAAAGGGGAATTCCACCTTGATATCAAATTTGGTTTTAATAGAAGCAGAGAAATGAGAGAAAACGGGTCAGTGAAGTTTGAGCAATATCCGGTAAGACTGGCTGTATGTATTTCATTGTTACCATATATACAGCGTGAGTCAAAAAAAAGTTTACACCTAGAAAATTGCTAATTATTTAAAAAAAATCATCCATGAACAGTAAACTATTATACATCTTATGAAAGAGTGTTTTATCCCGCATCATTTAGTATCATTTTGTGCCGTATGTGTTCACGCTTGGATGAACAGGAGGCATTGTTTGCGAGAGTGCAAAAATCGACTTGCGCCAAAGTTGCTTATGTGATGTTTGAATAAAACGATTGGGATTTGCGTATTAATTCGGTCTTTGCAGATCCAAATAACATCCGAAACAAAATCAATCAGGCCACAAATATCAAATATCGAATATCAAATATCAAATGTGACTTTGCTTCTGCAAAAAGCATATGCAATGCATTTCATTTGATACATTCAATTCATTCTTTCACCCTGCTAATCCCAACATAATACATGCTGTATGCATCACTTTGGCGCAAGTCGATTTTTGCACTCTCGCAAACCATGCCTCATGTTCATCCAAGCGTGAATACCTACCACACAAAAATGATACCAAATTATTTAGGATAAAACACTCTTCCATAAGATATATATCAATTTACTGTTCATAGATGATTTTTTAAATAATTAGCAATTTTCTATGTGTAAACTTTTGTTTGATTTACACGGTATAGGCCTATATTAACTGTTACTCTCTTAATTATTGTATTGAAGTCACTCGAAGGTTGTTCTGGAAAAATAAGCAAACCATATGAAATAGAGAATCAATGCAATTTACATTGTGGACGGAGACATCTATTTTAATCTTACGTACATGTACATATTTTGATGACGACAACGGGGCAAAAATAAAATGATAAGAGCAAGTTTTCATTTTAGGCAACAACGCAAACAATCAATGAAATGAAGTCTATGAAAGGAAAAGCATGAAAAAGGGTTATCGAATAAAAAAATAAAATGAAAATGGTGATATATTAGGAATATGCTTTCATTTTGATTGAGTATCGATACTATATTTCCTCTTTTACTGAACTCAGTAAAGTACGATGTATGTAATATATTCTCGAGAGTTCTAGTTTTATAAAATACATTTATGCTACGTATCTATGTTTTATTACTGCGATGCTGACGCTGGTGACATAACACGATTTTATAAAGTCAATATTATAATGTATTCATTGTTTGGATATATTTCTAATCATGAGGCGAGGCATAGAATATACTCCATGCTCGTACTTTGAAAAGTCTTTAAATAGAACACATGTGGGTGTGATATCCTGATGTAATTCGATTTCCACCCACTTGTCCTAACTATACTCTATTAGAAAACAAAGAACTCCCGTTTTGGGCTCGGTAGGCAACTGTCAATATGTCGGTGATAGATGTGTCAATTAGATGATATGCCTTGCAGGCGGCATCGATAAAGAAACGTAATTGAGGAGGAAATAATCGAAAATGCCAGAAATAGTAGAAAACCGATATGTTTTTCTGGCAACCCTGGCGATGGTACATTATGATGTCTGATGATAAAGAATGGACTCGGTCGGAATGGAAGGGGGGAGGATGTAAAGGCAGAGTGTGAATTGTGCATGAATCGAGCGACGGGAACAGAGAGAGAGAGAGCGAGAGTGAGAGAGAGAGAGAGAGAGAGACACAGAGAGAGAGAGAGAGAGAGAGAGAGAGTGAGAGTGAAAAGTAGAAATAAGACAATTGCTATTGCAATGACACGATGGGATATCGGAGAAGTTTACGATCAGTTTGAAGTTTTTAATTTAACACTGTACAATATACAAATCAAATCGAATTAACGGTCATCAATACAAATATCCTTTACTAACGACGGATAGTGATAACAACTATGGTAATAGAAATAATAATGATAATACATATTGTAATAATATATCAATATTAATCATACTAATAATAATAAAAGTATTGATAATAATAATAATAATGATGATTAATTACAAAATTCATGGAAGCAACTGAAAAAGAAAGTTACTGGCACCAGTAAATTGTTGAATTAATGAATTACTGAAAATATTCTTGATATCAATTTGATAATTTTATATAAGAAAGAAAGAAATGAGAAGAAAGAAGAAATAATGTCATTTGGTAAGGCATTAATCTATATTTGCCACACTCGACCCAGGTGAGGCAAATGAGTACCTGGTAGAAATAAATTCCTTGAAATGCTATAGAGCGCCTTAATAGCAGCTAGGCTAAAGCCGGGGTAAAAATTAATTTGTGCGCCTCGGATTAGAATTATCTATATAAATGCCTATTATTATTATTATTATTATTATTATCATCATCATTAGTAATGCCTTAGTAAAGATGTATTAACTGAATTGAATTTAATTGAATTGATGTATTGTCCACTAAAAAATGGAAATTCGTTGCTCACTGGTATTTCACGCAATCTACACAATTATACGAATTATAAAACATAATGACAAACAACAATGGCGTTACATCCAACAATACATCGATCTTCAAACTGAAGACTTAATAGTTGTAGTCTTATGAAAAACCAGAGATATAGTTTAGGTAAACCAGAAGAGGTCGGTCTCTCACATGTCCAACTGACCATGTCCGTGGTGTAATGTCAACGCAGTCGCCTCTACGAAGCGTCCGGACACAAACGGCCCCGCCCACCCTTGTCGGACAGCCCCCCCCCCCCCCAACAGCCAGGACGCGAGTCGCGTACATCAGTCGGTGCTAGCCGGGGCATTTTATTTTGTTTGTCCCAGCCAAGCAACACACAGTCAATACCATAGGGTCCGCATCCCGGCCACCGCAACATGATAGGCATGATTAGCATATTAATTATTTCTTTCCAGGGTCTTTTGGTTTTAAAAAAAAATCATTATACAAACTATCAAGTATCAACTCATAGTGAGTCGCTTTTATAGTTAGCTATCCATGTTGCGCCTAGCCACCCGCCATACCTACATGTATATTCTCATTTTAAAGAGCACCGTTGTTTTAGCTTCCACAACACTTGAGAATTGAGAGATCGACTCCTTGCTCGGTGCATATCTTATCCAAGCTCTGTCTCGACCCAAGTTGGGTCAGTCATGGGTCAGTATAGGATTTGCTACTGCTTAGAGCCAGAAGGGGGTATTAACTCATAAATTTTATGTCACATCCTTCTTGCTCTATGACAAAGGCTATCGAAATTCACTATGATTTTACAACGGCTACCCGAGGTAAAGCCAGGGTAATCAAAGAAGAAATATATAGTTCAAGCATTTATAGAAAGACCGTCCAATAGAGAAAAAATAATGCAGTCTTTACAGGCAGGTTTTGGTATAGACCGGTTCTACTTTAACACATGTTTTGATTTAAAAAAAACATTAGTTCGATGGAAACAATTTTGTTGGCATAGCCAAGTGATTGCTAACTTAGGTTTGACTCTAAACTTTATTTCGTTGTTCATTTTCATTTCATTTACAGCGTTTGCCTGCATGCTGCCATACATCTCCGTGTACTTCATTCACATTGGTCTCTCGGTATGGCAGGTTGGTATCCTCCGTTCTTTGGAGCCTATTCTCACCTTCATCGGCAGCCCTCTTTGGGGAGCATTTGCAGACAGATACAGCAAGCACCGACTAGCTACCAGCATCGCCATCAGCGGGGCCGGTGTAGTTTACTTCATGTTCCTCTTCGTGCCTCTGATGACAGGGGTGTCCCCGGACTCCTTACTGCAGGAAGTGACCGAAGACTGCGCCGAGGATACCACAGATTGGAACAACTACCATCTCATGTGTGATGATGCCGCATTGGTGGACCGCCAAGGGGTGTGGAATGATGCGAGAGGGAGTAATGTATCGTCGGAGTGTACAGATATGTGTGCGGCCGGGATGCTATCCAAAAACCACAATAGTAAATTTGCTTCCTGTTTGAGAGAGGTTGGAGGCTGGAAATGTAGCCCCTGTCCCGGGACTGAGAATCGCCCCTCTGCGGACATCCCCAAAGGCACACTGACCTTGTATGGAATATCATGCCCGTCACCAACGGGATACTCAGTCATTGGAGGAGCAGAAAACGTGACAGAATTTGATATTCAACCCTCCGTCCAACAAACTGAAAAGAATATTAGTAGTTCTTGCCTGCAGTCTGCTTGTTGCCAGTGTGCGACCAAGAATGTTCCTAACCCGCGTCAGGGTGTAACGTTTGCGATATGTATTGTCTTTTCGATGTTGGGAGTGGCATTCAACTGCAACACTCTTATGTTCTTTGATTCTCTCACCATGGAACTCATCAAGGGTAAGAGCGAATGGTCGTTAGGGCTGTACCAATACTTCAGACAAAATATAAGCCAAATAGGCGCAAAGTGTATTCTCTTTTGTCATATCCTCTTGTTTGGGATAGATCTTTTTATGTCTTAATTGTATATCATTCCCATCACGCTCTCTGTCTATTTTTCTTCATCCCTCATCCAGTCAATCGTAGTTTCTTCCCCTCCACCCCTCGCTATTTCTGATGCTCACTCTCTCTCTCTCGATTTCGATTTTTGTTTACATCCCCATCTCTCCCTCTGTTTCACACTCTCTCTCCCTCTCTCTATATATCTATTTCTCTTTCTCTCTCTTTTTCCCCCTTTCTCTCTCATCATCCCTCGCTTTCTGTCTTCATCCCCTCTTAATTTCCAATGTCCAATTATCTCTTTTTCCTGGTCATTCTTTGTCCCAGCTCTATCTTTAATACACTTTTCCCAACCCAGTTAACAACCCTCTCACCCTCTCTCTCTCTGTCTCTCTCTGTCTCTGTCTGTCTCTCTCCCTCTCTCTCACACCTTCTCCCCCCTCTCTCTCTCCATCTATCTCTCTATTTCTCTCGCTCTTAGTCTCTCTATCTCAAAATAATTTACCTTCCTTCAATCTCCGGTTCTCTCTAGTTATCTCTTCTCATACCGTCTTTCTCCCAAATTTATACTCGCATTTACTCCCAACCTTTCTATCCATCTGCCCTTGCACAGGGAAGAGAGCCGACTACGGGAAGAACCGAGTATGGGGTGCCATAAGCTGGGGGCTCTTCGCCCTCTTGAGTGGGGCGGCCATTGATCTTTACACTAACCTCACTAACGCCAAGACGGACCGTTTCGAGCCTGCCTTCATCATGTATCTCCTCGGGATGTTCATCTGTCTCGCAATCTTTCTTCATATGAAGCTTCCCGATCACAAGAAACCCGAAGCTATGAAGAAAAATTTGCAGGTTTGTATTTTGAATACCGTTCCTGACTCCTCCATCAGAGAGTACAAAACACGAGCGAAATCGTGGTAAAAAACACCAGTAATTGAGACCCTTTAAAGATACTATGTCCCTTTTGCAGCCAAACTCAAATTCTGTAGAACTTTGCAGGAATTTGAATATGTCATGTATATCCTATCTGTGAAATTTAAACGTTAGCAGTCCTTATATTCAAATTATGCAAGAAAACCCGTTTACTTGCTAGACTTCACTGTCAGACACTATTGTCAGTATTGAGTAAGTGAATAGCTTTTCCTTCTTCTTTGGTAATAACATACATAAAATGAGATGTAAAGGATTTGTCTACTACAATAACCCACTTCTTGTAATGGCCAAAATTAACTGATTGAATCTGCGCGCAGCAAAAAAAGTACGATTATGCGGTACACTGGTCTGAAAATCAAGAATATTACTTATTGGCTCTATAGCTCCTAAGTCGATTTTACAACTAATAGTCGTTATTTTCCCACTTAAAGACATTTTCAAGCCCCATTCTTTTAAGGGGAGTTCTAAATTAGTATTATCTTTCAAAAGCCATTGGAATTTAACCTTTTCATTTGTTTGGCCTGCAAAAGGGACATAGTACCTTTAAAAGTACTGCCTGAGAAATAATAAAAAATAACACTTGGATATTTTCGTAATGTAATCAAATTTAATGCATAAATCTTTGTTCGGTATCTTTTTACAAAATAAATGTACAAAATATATTTCGAAAATGGCCTGTTAGGCTAATCTAATCACTCCAAATTTATATCAAGTAAAGCTAAATTAGGCCTATTGTTAATTAATAATTTTCTACAATTTTGCTTCAAATCTTTACACTAGTCATCTGTTATTTAAGGATTATAATGTTCTAATTGGCATACCCCAAAAGGAAAACAGATTAATTCAAGTTGGAGGAGAATTATAATGTCAGATGTGTTTTTTTCGTCATCAAGAATTGTCGAACATGTCTAATTTCCTGTGTCCAAGAAAAGTAATAATTATGTTAAATATATATATATATATATACTATCATTAGTTACTGTAGTCTTTTTTATCATCCACATTGCAATATTCTCCAATCTAGGCGGTACTGTGCAATGGAGAAGTGATCCTCTTTCTCTTCGTGGTCTTCGTGACGGGTATTTCCTTCATCCTGACCTTCACCTATGTATTTATCTTCATGAAAGAACTCGACAGCTCTTACCTACTCCTAGGAATGGCTATCACCTTGACCGCTGTCGCTGAAATCCCTTTCATGTATTTCTCAGGAGCGATCATCAAGCGTGTTGGGTATGCAGGTAAGACGGCGATTCAAGTAAAGGACCTAGAACATTGCCCTGTGGGACTTACCTCCACCATTGCAGATATCCTTTTATATCGTGTATTTTGGGTTGCAGGTAGAACGAGTTTCTGATGAATGTAGAGGAAATGATGCCCTGCGACACATACACCACCATCACTTACATTACTCTCGTGTAGGCCTATGTCTATTGGTTGAGTTGATAATACAGGTACGAATGGTTCCTGGTTATTGTATAGTACTTATTATGTTGCTCTGTGGAACATGGTCCACCATCGGGGAAGGGGAGGTGGGGGGGGGGGGGCATAAAGCGAGTTGGCTATGAATTTAAGGCAGTTTCATTAGACAAGGAACATTACCGTGTGGCATTCACGTCACCATCTCTTTTGTGTTCTCCTCATTCATGCATTTTCTCTCGACGTAAACTCCTACGGAGGGGCATCGATTATGGGGTTCAGTCGTCACCCTAATGGTTTCATAAAGGACAAACACTGAGGGCAGATCATGGATGTGATTAAATTGAAAGCGCATCGAGTTACAAGCTTAGGGAACTTAAACTATGTTTTGTTTGCATCCGTCACGGTAAAAGGGGTGATTGTAAAATATATCTTTATCAATGAGTATATAGGCCTATTATGTTATCTATAGTAGACGTAAACCTATTACAATTTCCAATAATTTGCCCCACTGGCAAAACTGTTCCCGTAGGCCTATATCCATGCTTCCCAAATTTGTTTTTTCTTCCACTTCTTGATACTTTGTACAAAATAATCATATAGTTTAATATAGTCAGTAAACATTTATAATATCCGATTTCCCTTCGCTAACAGGTGTGATGTACATGACGCTAGTAGCCTACGCTATCAGATACTTTAGCTACTCGTTTGTGTACAACCCCTGGTTTATTCTACCGGTGCAGCTCCTACATGGGATCACCTACGGTCTTGCGTGGCCCATGTTCACGGCCTTCGCTAACAGCACAGCCCCTAAAGGAATGGCTAGCACCCTTCAATCAATTGTTGCTTGCTGCTTCATGGGTGTTGGTAAGGCTGGCAAGATTTTGATATTGTCCCAAAATTTTTACATTTTGACACAAAACAAAATATAAGGTATGAATGTTCACGGAGCCAATAGAAGGATTTTTTCTTCTGATGGTGAAACCCCGTTATACGAAGCCGGTCAAGTGGGGGCAGGAAATCAATATTCCTCGGTGAAAGTTTCGCCCCCTCCCTTTCTGACACTGCTGTATCAGCTCCTGTCTGTTGCATGTTGGTCTACTGTCTACACAATTCAATATTCAAGACTTTTATAAGTGTCGTGTTCTAGTGCTGCGTTTTTTTTCCAAATGGGACACCCTCGAAGCTCTATTTTTTCTAAATACATTTTCCCCACTTTCTCATTCCTTCCTTCCTGTTCATAGGAGGTGCAATTGGCAACTTTGTAGGGGGCATCATTTATGAAAACTACGGTGCTAGGATGCTGTTCAGATGTAATGGGGCGCTTTGTCTCGTATCACTTCTCATCTTCTTCTTCTTCACTGTCTTTGTCCTGAAGAAAAAAGAAAGCAGGGATGGGGCAGATGAAGACGCCGAGAAAGAACAAGATAAATGCAATATGAAAGGTAATTTTTGTCATGTGCTTGAAACAAATAGACGACTTTTTTTAGCAGATGTTTCCGCATTTATTGATAAATCAAATATCAAACATTCAATAAAAATAATAGTATAACATATGATTGATTTACATAAAGAGTGACAACTTAAATACACACATATAAAAATGCAAATAATTGAAAGCTTGGAAGTATGGAGATAAGTAAAATAATCAAGATAAATGCAGAGGCCAACTATCATAAGCAAGAATGCTTGAGTCGATAGCAGCCGATTTAATGACACGATCACATTTATTTTCTGAAAAATCAACTCAAGGGCATTTTTAATTCCCTAATGACTATATCCCTTAGAAATCACTTGTTGCTACCTTGTTTGGCGTTCAACAATAAGGGATAGAGTAACGTCGATATGGCGCTGCTCAGTGGCTGCCGGGCTCACGATCAATTGGGCAAAAAGAATTTCTGTTTCGGTTTAATAAAATTTGGAGTGGACTATTTAAATCTAAGTGGGCTAATTAAATTAAAAAATTATTAAATAAGTTAATACGTCATTGTCATGTTCGCACGTTTCAACAGGTGACATACAAGGCCATGGAATCATGGGCTGTTTTTTTATTTTTTATTTTTTTTTAATATCGATATATTGATCGTGTTATTTGGATAACTTTGAACTTTGAAACTCAATCGTTTAAAAGAATACATGTACCCCCGACCATAGACGTTTGCATGTTTCACAACCCTGTTCATATTTATTCATTATGTCGGATGATTTTATATATATGAAATACTACCCAGTATGACTTGCAAATCATAAAGTTCCACCAAGAACTGGTGGAAATACTTACATGAGTAGGCATACGAAATAGAAGACTGTTCTTTTTTGTCGTAACACTTATCTCTAAAACATGTATGTTTCTCCTTTTTAATACTTTTACTTCATATAGACGCCCCCTGTGACGCCATCAATTGGGTTGACGTCGAGAAAAGTGAAAATAGGTGTAATGACGAAGAGGAGCAAGGCTTGGTAAAACAGGTCACTGCTTTAGACGAAGAAATGGCTGATGATAATAACACTAACGCTGATGTTCATTCAAGGAACATCTGACAAGACCAATCGTTTTATTTTTTGCGGTGGCGCAGTTTTTTGGCGAAAGAAGGGAGAGAGAAAACAGTGGAAGATAGGGAAGGTGACGTGAAAAGAAGATGAGTAAGATGTTGCCATTCCTTTCTCGACTCGATTGCGTAGCTTATTCGTTCGTTTTTCATTTACCTGGTAATTACAAGTGCCGCCATTTCATCAGTCCCCTCTCCCCTCCGCAATGGCTGGACCTACGCTTTGTTTAACACTATATTGAGTGTAGCTCATCCTATCATTCTATCCACCTGGTGAGAGCGGTGCCCCTCCCCCACGCCCCCAGTGGCACCAGTGGCACCAGTGGCAGTGCCTCTCACTGGCTTTGCTGACGTGCGCTGTGCCATTGTTATTTTATGAGCACAGAGTCTGGCTGGATGCGGCCAAAAGAAGACTGCAAATCAAGATTTCTTTAATTTTCCCCGAAAGGACGACAGAGGAGTTGTGATCACTGGGATGATGATAATGGGTAATAATGTATTCAACTGGTAACACCGGTGTTCTACCTCCCCCTTTCTTCGAAATCAAATTGCCAGACTGTCGCATCGCCCCTGGTTATATGCACAAAACGGGAATGGATTGTCGATTTGTGATTGCAGTGGTTCGTGAGTCCGCTTTGCAAGAGGAAGTCACCGACTAATTCTTAGTCCTCGTCCAATTTCTGCATGGCAAATGATTCGTCGTTCTCAGATTCGCGGGATATTCACCCCCCCCCCCGACATATTCGTCTGTCTGGCTTACTCGACGTCTCTCTATACGAAACGTGAAGGAGAAACGTTTTTCCATCGGTTGCAGTAAAGTTGTAGTACCTATTGTAAAGACAGCTCCATCTGCTGACCAGTTCAAGAAACTTCTGAAGCCCCACTTAATTTCCTAGAGGACAGCGAATTGCATTGGCTCAACCATCTCTTTTAAAAGGGATTTAATTACTAAATATATATTATTGTTTCAGTGGCGGCGAGTGGGCCAACGAGGTGTGTTATTGGGTTTTTACAGACGTGTATCAATCAGATATGATTGTTTACGTCAGGGGACCGACCTCTAACGTCACCACCCGAAAGACGTGACTCAATTTCGAACAGGGGTCGCCTGAGCCAGTTTGTAGGCAAAGACAGAGAGCTGACCAAGTGAATGTGCCGCCAGACCAACTCACATCTCCAACTCACATCTCCATTTCACAACTCTCATGTGGAGAAGTGAAAGTAGCGCTGCTCTACAAGTTAAAGGCCCACTATCAAATACCTTTGGATTGGATTGATTGTGACCAACAATTCCACAATACCTGTAATTTCGATTATACTATCATTATATGTAATTTAAGTTGGAGCCTCCGGAAGAGAGAAATAACATACTAATCATCTCGATGGTCAAGTCAGAGAATTAATAATGATTCTAATCAAATTGACAAAATGTAATATAACATTGTAATATTCTATCATCTGTTTATTATATCAACATATATTTGTATGCGAAAACAGAGTGTGATAACATATCTTTATATTTAGTGAAAGTATTTGAATGATGTAAAGATCATATCTTTCTGTGAAGAGATTAATTGCTTGTACATTCCACATTGTATAAGTGAAAATGGTGTGCTCATCGCTGCTAACTGTATGTAATCCATCCAAATAAAAAGATAATGAATGATATTCATACTTACAACAAGATAAACATATGTTCTCTGCCGGGTATCCATTCAACATTATTCTTAGAATCATTATTATTACCGTTAGTATTATTACTATTATTATTATTATTATCATCATTATTGTCATTCATGATCATTATTATTATTACTAATATTATTATTATTATCATTATTATCATTATTATTATAACGTTTATTATTATCATCATCATCATCATCATCATCATGTAATAATTATTAATATATTATTATTATTATTATTATTATTATTATATTATTATTATTATTATTATTATTATTATTATTATTATTATTATTATTATTATTATTATTATTATTATTATTATTATTACTATTAATATCATTGTTGTTGTTATTATTACCAATTTATAAAATACCTAATGTTAAGTTGGTAAATAGAATAATAAGCTGGCTTCATCCAGAAATTCACCGTTTAAAAAAAAGTGATTTCAACAAGGCATCTTCTAAATCGACAATCGTCTGCATTTGCCGTCTCCTTTCCTCACTAATCCATTACATTCCACAGAATATTAGCTGTTGTTGTTATACGTATCATAATTATGTTGTAATTGTTCTTAACTGAGTGGTGTTCAAATCCTGTCACCAATAAGCAGTTTCGTATGGGTCTATGTTGCTAAGAGGTTTAATGTACAGCAGTCGGTGAATGTCATTTAGAAGCATGCTTGATTTGAAAGGCATATTATCCAGATTAATGTTATGTTAAGGTGTCAATGTGTCAGAGTTTAAAGGTCGGTGGCATAGCTTATAATGTAGGTCGCAAAATGGGGAGAGGGACAATTAGGCAACGCAAAGAGAAGATATACTCTTTTCGAAACCCTAATTCCACTCGAGTGCCTTGACTGTTTCTTTCTCTTGTATTTCAAGTTTCATTCATCTAATTGTAAGAACGATTCCGCCCCCCCCCCCCCATTGACCCAGTGCCCCTCAGTGGCGTGACCCATGCACGCTACGCCACTGTTGATGATAGCTATATCTCACTGATTCCTGTCGATCGCGTCAAATAATTTTTGTTTGAAAACTAGCATTCCTCAGAGTAACACTGATTACAATGTTTAACACTTTAATGTTATTTCTCTGTGCTACTATGTACATTTGTTGTATATTGTATCAATGGAAAGGATTACGTTTCTGGAAAGAAAATAAAAAACAAATGCGAAGTATGATATCGGACAAAGCCTTGAATAAAATCATCCTTATCTGTAACGTCCATTCAGTAAAATTGTTCTTGCGTGTACCACTAAACTTCATTAACGTTGATGTATGTTATCAAACTTGTCCTGTATGGTTTTATTGCGTTTTGTCTTCTGTTGTACAATATAGGCTAAATGGGTATAACTACAAAATACGAAATACTCTGCATACTTCTAGAATAAGACGCCCCTCCCTCCCTCTCTCTCTCTCTCTCTCTCTCTCTCTCTCTCTCTCTATCTCATCCCTCTATATTTTTAACCTTCTCTCTTTCTCTTTTGGCATTTCTCTGTTTTTCTCATTTGCTCTCTGTCTGTACGTGTTGTAGCATTTCTCCCTCTCGATCCTCTCTCACTCTCACAATTTTTATTGTGCCCCAAAGATGCCCCATGATATGAGAGGGGTCACGGAACCTCATCCCCACTGCAATAATTCCCTCTCTGTTACAGGCGTACTTACCTTGAATTCATTTTTCTCTTCATTATTCATAAAGCCTTCACTGAAATTATTATGGTAGACAGCCTAAATGGAACTTCTCCAGGACTTTCTCCAAGTGGAACTTTAGCAGGACCTATATCAGGACACGTATACCATATTACCAAACGTTTCGATCTGGGAATTATACACACTCACTTTTAGGAGGATGGCAAATTTAATGGGGAAAAAAATTGATCGAGAGAAAGAGCGAGAGAAAGAAAAGAGAGAGAGAGAGAGAGAGAGCGTGTGTGTGTGCGTGTGTGTGTATGTGTGTGTGCGTTTGTGTATGTGTTGGGGATAAAAATGAAATTTTAAAATAGATACAAATATATTATGAACAAATATATTCTTTTAGGAATGATAGAGGTAAAAAGAATGGTTTATTTTTAATGATATTTTAAAGTTAAAAGTAATGCAAAGTTTTGGGAAGTTTTGAAAATTGGATGGATAATAATTCGTTAAAACTTTGATATATTTCGATGCCCCTGAATGAGTGAATGTTATGTTATACCAAGAATAACATTAATGATAGAGAGACAGAGAGAGTTTCAATTTCAGCTACTGCCTGCCTGCATGGGACAATTTATACTAAAGATCATTTATTTAGACTTGGATTTGTTGAAGATAATTTATGTTCGTAGGCTATACTGTTAACAGGAAAACGTATTCACCTTACATTTGGTGTTTGTTTAAATGTTACATTGAAATGACAAGCTGCTGTGTTACGATTTGAGTTAAATGAAATAAAGGACTTTAATTGGCGAGATATATTGTTGGATTGTCAGGTAATTCAAATAGAATCAAAAGTTGAAACACTATCATTTCATTGGTAAAATATATTTTTTTGTATTTATAAAAGATGGCGTAGGCCTCCTCCAACCATTGATAAATTACAGAAACGCCTATTAGATTACAAGGATCAAGAAAAGAAAATGGGGAAATTAGGGCTACATCTTACAAAAGTGGGAACAGCTAAATTAGAATGAGATTTAATTTGTACGGCAGCAGGCCTATAGAATAAGCCTTTTATACACGATGCTTTACCCGTATTTGTAAAAGTAATTTCCAATTAAAGGAATGTTTTTTAGTGCATGTTGGGCTAACTTAGGGCTGATTTTAACATATTTTTTTGGCCGGGGGGGGGGGGGGGTACATGCCCCCTGTGCCCCCCCCCCCTGGATCCGCCACTGGGTACGATGAGCATATTTTGATACCTTATTTGTGACACTGACATGCAGGTCACTCATTGGAGTGGGGTCCAGGGGCGGAGCCCCCAGAAGCTCAGGGTTTTTATGCATTAAATTACGATTAGATGAGCATCCAGGGGCCGCCTTAGGGCCCTTGGTGGGGTCCAGGGGGCAGAGCCCCTGGAAGCTCAGGCGTTTTAGGCATTTAATTACGGTCAGATGAGCAACCATTAGGACCCACCTTAATTAGGGCCTTTGCTGGGGTCAAGGGGGCAGAGCCCCCGGAAGCTGAGGTAAAAATCATGCCATTTCAACAACATTTGTAAATCACTAGTATCGAATTAGATATAAACCACGTTTGAATTTCATTTGAGGGGAACTGCCCCCAAAGCCCCCCCCCCCCCCATCATACGCAAGTGTGAGGGTGACGGAAGTTTTGTAATATCACTTTCCTATATAACAAAACTATAGTATAACATAAAGCATTATACTTTTTTCATACTTCAATTTTCTCGGTATTCACTAGTAAATTTTGAAGGATATTGGAGCGTAAAGCTACCGAGTGAAAATATTTTTGCGTTTTTATTTGTCTAAACGCTGCACTCTTGGGCCCTCCAGAGCCTAAAAGTGTAGTCTTTTAATAGTCAGTATTTTCTATACATTTTGGGGGGCACTTTTTCAAATTTTGAGGGGAGACGTTTCCCCCCCCCCCCCCTTCCGGCCCCCGGGATCGCCGCATCTGGACCCAACTGATCGGAGTATAGTAGACCTATAACAATGATAAAATCGTTCAATGCAATAAACAAAAAACACACGCTCCATTGCTGGCATCTCTTTGATCCGATCCCCGATCTAGATATGCAGTTAGTCTGCAAGCACAAACCCTGGTCATTCGTAAACGTGAGTCTGCACTATAAGACTACCATAGGCCATGTACTGTACTGTAGCTGCTCCTGACACAACCTTCTTCTTCTTCTTGATTTGTTTTTGTTTGGCAATCAGTCACAGTTGACTATTTTTGCCACACACTATTTTTATGAATTATTGTACAATTTCATGTCATAAATGACTATTTTGGGGATTCTTTCTCTTTCCATCCTCTTTCCTTCCTCTTTTTTTTCTTTTTAGACTCTATAACTTTTTTTAGAGAGAAAATTCAATAAATTAAAAATTTTGGAAAGAGACGACGGCCTATAAGCAAGTTGTGAATGAAAAACGCCTATAAACTAAAACTAAACGTACGTACTTGTGTTTACGCGCGCGTGCGCGTTCAAATATCACCTCACGTATGCACATGTGTACTTCGCACTTACCCCCACCCTTTTCAAAATGCCATCTTACCAGTCTTTGAGGTATATTTCGCAGACTTTCGGTTTTAACCTAGGTCACTCCGGCATAGGTGAGGGGGTGCCAGCTAGCATGTGATGTTGGAGGTGATCACCGAATTGTTAGAAAAAGTAAAAGGTCAAATTAGTTACAAGTATTGTGGGCTTTATTGGTGCAAGAAAAAGGAAAAGAGAAGATAAGGAAAAAAAAAAGAAAAAAAAAATCAACAACAATTTAATGGTTTTGATACAGCCGCTTTGTTCTTAAAACGAAGCGAACCATTGCTTTTTGTTTAACTATTTCTGAAAGTTTAAGTAGTGTCATGATTTCCTGTGGATGTGATAAATCAGTTTCTACGAGTAACATAGCTCTTTCTATTATGTACTTTGGGCATTCAGTGAGAAAGTGGTTTACAGTTTCAGTACGTCCTATGCAGTTATTGCAATAGCCTGTCGAGTGTATATTCAATCTGAAGAGATCTAAGTTCAAACCTATCACTCCTATTCTTAATCTATGGAGAATACTTTCTTCAAATCTGTTCAACTTACATTCATATGGTTGATTTACTGTCAGGCAGTATATGTCTAAGAGAGCTATCAGAATTATTCCATCTGTCTTGCCAGAGTTTTATATACTTGCTGGTAATAATACTCTTTATTTCAGAAAAGGATAATTTATTACAAATTTCAATGTTATTTTGTAAAGCAGATTTTGCATAAAAATCTGCCATTTCATTTCCGTGTACACCACAATGGCTAGGAATCCATTCTAAGTGTATGTGTTTTCCTTGATACGATAATTTTGTACTTAATGTAATAATTTCAGTTACAAATGTAATATCTTTTTCATCCTTTATGGCGAGCAGGGCGCTTACGGAATCACAAAAAATAACAATGCCAACATACACATTAATGTTCTCTAGCCAATTAAGCGCAAGGACAATTGCAGCCAATTCAGTTCTGAAAGATGAGGTGTGATCCGCCAATCGTTTGGCTTGTTGAAAGGAGAATGCAGGTACATAAAAAGAAGCAGAACTTATTCCAAAACTTGGAACCTTTGACCCATCTGTATAGATGTGTAGTTGTATTGGCCATTTGGTACTGATCAATTCTAAACTGCGTTGACGTAAATAAGATGGGTTTTCATGTTTGTTCACTATTTCGCTTAATTCTATCGACACTTTTGGAGCATTAATTTTCCAAGGGGGGAAACTAGGTATAGTGTAAGGTTCGATAGTACAATGTTTCATTAGTTCTGTTCTGCATCCAAATGGCTTGTTATTCTTTTGGAGCTTCAAAAGTTCCATTTGCCAGCTGGGCTAATATGACAGGGTGATCTCGATGCATTTCAATCTTTTGTCTGAATCTGTCCGCCAGCATCTGTCTTCTTAAGTCTAAGGGCATTTCACCTAGTTCAACTTGTAGTGAATCTAATGATGTAAGAGGAAGAGCTCCCGCACAAATTCTCAAGGCTTGATATTGAATGGAGTCAAGTGATTTCTTTATACTTTGAGCCGCACTGTCATAGGCTTCACAACCAAAATCTAATAACGATCTAATCAATGCTCTATATACCATTAGCAGGGATTTCGAGGAGCTTCCCCATGTAGTCCCAGTAAGGCACCTAAGAATGTTCAGTTTCTTTTTACATCTAAGGACTACGGTAGCTTGGCTAGACTTCTCTCAAGGCACAATGATTTTTTGATTAAGTGTCAAATTAGGGTCTGTGCCTCCAGACTAATATGCAGTCTATATTGCATCAAGATGGCAGCCCTCATGAACGGAGCACGCACATTGAGAAATCACTGGAAAAAGTCAACAGTTTTAGCAGTTTTGTCTGTATGGGGTGCAAACTTTCTAGTAGACCGATATAAGTGAGTCTGGAAAACTTAATTGTGACATTCATTTTAGTGATTAAGATAAATGAAAGTGTAAACCATGGAAACTGTACCGAGAAATTGAAACTGTACTAGACTACTTTGACTTCAGTCCCACTGGCAGTTTTCTGTGTAGGCCTACTACTACTCAGTACTACTGTAGAGTAAAGGAGCCCGTTTTCGGCCACTTAAGACAAAATCCTATTTTTAGGACCCTTAACTTCCTATTTATTATCATTTTTTGTTCAAATCATGAAGCAAATATTATTATTATTTAAACAAAAAAAGAATCCCAGAAAAAAATCACGAATTGCCATGACAATATTCATTTCAATTTTCACTGTTTTGGAGCCAGTTATCGGCCAAGCGTTTCAGTTTACGGTCGCATGTACAAAGTCAATAGGAAGCGCTCCCGCGCGCCGTGCGTTTCCGCGCTGATGTACAGCACAAGCGGGCGGAGCAGGTATCCCACGCCGGAGCTCCCTGGTGCTCGCCTGGCCGAAGACAGGCACAGCGGTGATCGGAAGTTGGAATCTGAATTAGACAGACATATCGTGTGTGCGTGGCAGGGTCCGGCTGCATTGATTTAATATATGCGATGAGATACTTTTGAGCTTGCGACTAACACAAAATCGGGCTCTAAATCTGAAAAATACTTGAAATAAAGCTGATTTTATGGTACCCATATTTCTTACATACACGCGTAAGATACTTGATTTTTCAGATTCGGGTAGCGGGACCGTCGATTACATCGCTAAAATGTGATATTTTAGGATATATTTTTCATTGCAAATGTGGTTCTTCAGTGACACTGGCATGGTATGGTATGAGTGGGATATGTGTTATGCTATTATGCGATGTATTTTAGAGTGATTTTACCTTGCATCCAACCAATCGGCCGAAAACTGGAGCTGGCCGATTACCGGCTCCTTTACTCTATATAGGCCCTACTTAGTTTAATGAAGTCTTTATTAAAGGCTTCGTTTAACAATGTTAAATCTGAGATGCATGGCCCGACATGTTATCAGTGCCTGTGATATGGAGTAATATTGAAGCCCTAAAAAAATTGCGCTTCAAAATGATCAAGAAAAATGTAGAAGTGCCTCAAAAAAGTAAAAATCTTCGAGTTACCGGTTTTACCAGTAGGGCCTAGGGGCGCTGGTCCGAGAATAAGGATCGTCTTCATAAACGAGGATCGTCTTCTTTAACACAGACAGATGCGTCCTCAAAAAATAAGGACCGTCTGCTTTTTCGCAGATGTTTCATATTTTTAATCGGCGCATTGGCGATGCAAAAAACGGATTCTGCAATGATTTTCTTGATGCATTTTACATTGACTTTGTACAGAGACCTTCACATTATAAGCAATAAATCCTTGGGAAGACGGACAACCCATAAAAGTAGATGGTGAACTAGGGTTATTTTCCCCCGGGGAATCCATTTTTGGCATCGCCAGCGGGCCGTTCTGTAACATGAAACCCCCAGAGCGCTGATGAAAAAAAAACGTCCTCGAAAATGCAGACGACCCTTATTTTTGAGGACGCATTTTGTCCTCGTTTAGGAGGATATCCTTGTTTATGAGGACGATCCTCATTCTCGGACCAGCGCCCCTACTGTTTACCATACTCATTTTCCCCAATAGACTGTTGTGTTATGAAAACCGTTTTAAAATTTGTAATTCCAAACATAAATATCTTTATAATCAGACAGGCGATCGGCTTGTAAATATCATGGGATTCCTGACTGACCTAAAGCCTAAAGGCTTATTATTATCATTGCAGCATGAGCTAAATCCAGGATTTTGTTTCAGAATCTGAGACAAAGTTACTGGGTCCCTGAAGAAGAGGGAAGAAGACGGACTGAGCTGCGCTAGTGTACTTTCCCATTATGAAATATGATATTGATATCACCTAGCCTTATTCAATTGGCACCCATACCCTGAGACTTAAGCTTTTTAAGTAACACTAAACCTAATCCTAACCCACTCCAGCAAAGCATAGAGAGTCATAACTCCAGGGAGCTCCAGATCGAATCCTGAAACACAAATCAAACAGCGGGTTATGGCAACATTTTTTCCGACATGTGAAACGGAAGTGATTACAAATTTTGACGAAGAGGAAGTACGCATGCACAGTAGCAGCGCAGCAAATGTGAATATTCATGCTACAGAGCGCCTTTCGCTCGAAAATGCTGAATATGCACGAGGTGAATTTGCTAAATTCATCAAACTCTGCGCGTGCACCTTAGTACACTAAACTAAATTAACTAATCACTATTGTAGTAATATTCTAACCAAATTTCTTCACCCCTGTCTATCTCGATACAATCCACAGGGCAGATCTTTTGAGAGCGGAATACTGCAGACAAGCTCAGGTAATTATGCAAACTGAATCATCAGTAGGATCTATCGTATAGTCAATTTTTTATTGAAAATTTGCGAACATTATGTAAAATTCAAAAATTCATTGTGGTGCTATGTACATCGCTCGAGTCCTACAGCAATGCTAACTTGACAATCTTATGGATCTGTTGATGCTGTACAGTACGTTCATGTTTCACATGCAAGTCAATCCCTTTTGAAAATTCAGGCACACTGCCAAACAACGGTTCCAGATTCTGTCCATTCGATGTAATTTGGAGTTTTGTATCTGCTTTTGATCTGGTGTCTGTTACAGTGTTGTGACTGGGGTATAAGATTATGGAACTAAAGGCTAAGGACAGTCCAAAATGTCTACATATGATATGATCATGAAATGTGTAGGTTCATCTATAGAAATACATTTTCGACTGAGCGATGACTTATGACACGGCTCAACACTAACAGGTGCCTGGGACATTCGCCCCCACCCCCCCCCCCCCATTTTTCCCTATTTTTTTCTTCCATAGGGCTCATACATCAAGACTCCAAGAAAATAAATCTGGACCCCCTTTCAAGGAAATATATTAGTGTGGAGACTGCTTATGACCAGTTTTAGTTTGACAGTGTCCTGTACTTATGGCATGTTTTTCTGTCTCTATCTTTCATAGCTGTATGGACAGCAACTCACACAGACCATCAGCAGACCTGTTAAAGCAACTGTCTTCTTGAATCCAGCTGCTAGAAAAGGGTAAACATTTCTCATTGAAAAGCAAGAAAATCATCTATATAATGTAGGCAAATGTTCTTTACCTACAGGTTACTTCATTAAAAGTTTCAATAAGAAAAGCAACCCTCCCCCCAAAAAATTAGTCTTTATAAACAAGTTGTCTTTCTACCTAGGTTGTCTCTCTAACAGGTTTCAGTGCCATTCTCCACTAAAGTGTTCAATTCAGGTACAAAATGTAGTACAAATGACGATATATTTGCTCCAAGAAATTTATTAAAATCGTTTCGATTTGCAAACTTTGATACCTACAGAATACAAAACAATGGATGCTTTAACATTGCATATTCGTAATCCACTGCTAAGCCCCTTTTTTCAATCTTACATAAACTTTCAGTTGTGGCCCAATGTAGATACACCCATAAAGTGATGTGCTGGGCCTTGAATCCAAGACCTTTCCATTTCTAATCAGGTGTTCAAATCATTTGGCATTGACATCTCAATGTTATTTCATGAACATTGTTAAATTTTGATTACTGATACACATATAATTTACACTCACATGGAACAAACTCAAGTAGGAAAGTAGATGACATTTATTCACTATGGATTGATGTCATTTATATATTTGATATGAACAGGGGTGCTTGTATGAACATTACTCTTTGAGATTCCTTTCTATTTGTTGTGAGCGTCGAAATCGGCAGCCTAGCATAGCCGGGTAATGTTGGAGCGCCTTGAGGACCTTGCAAGGTCGATACGTGCGCTATATGAGAATCCAATATCATTATTATTATTATTATTATTATTTCATTTTTAGCAAAGCCAAGAAGCTCTTCCAGAAGAATGCTGCCCCACTTCTCCACCTTGCCGGTCTTGATGTTGAAATCATACAGGTATGATGATCTGGATTTATAAAGCACTTAATACGGATTACCGTCTCTAACCGCTTCACAGACATTACCCCAGTCATTGGATTCATTCATGCACAACGTGCACCATCTCCACTCCCTGCGGAGTATTCTAACCAAAGTGGCTGTGAGGGCATAACACAAATGCTTTCTCATCCTACCAGTTCCCATGCCTTGCCGAAGGACATTAGTGACATGTTTGACTCACAAGGGTGACATTTAAAAGGGTCATGTACTAGCTCTCCTGAGTTGGCTTTAAAGAGAAGTTTAGTTGTGGCATGGTTGTGGTGAAGGTAAAGAATCATTAGTGAGCTTTCTTGTTCTCGTTATGTCAGTTAGGTCAAATATCATACAGTAGTGGTAGTATTTATTTCCGTATAAAAACATGATAACAATGTGGATTGACACATTCCGTGGGGTCCAGAACAAGTACATAAACACATCTGAACAACAGTAAATGAATTGATTGTCAAAGAAAAACATTACATGTATTAAATACAATTCTGCAATCTTAGATTTAAATATATTAATACTAGGGGACGATTTGATATGAGGAAGTGTGTTGTAGGCCTTTGCGTTTCTATACTTGAATTGAATGATCTTTTGAGGTAATTTGTTCTCGATTTGGGTAATTCTATTTTAGCTCTAATTTGGAAAAGGTAGGAATGGATTATCAACTCATATTCATTTCTTAAATATTCAGGGGTTAGATTATTAATAATTTTATACATAAGAACAAGGGAATGATGATTTCTTCTATGTCCCAAGAGTTGGCAATTAAGAGCATTACTGTAATTTATGGTGTATTTTTTTTTTTTAAAGTTCCGATTTATGCCCCTCCACCTGGCACTATGCCTGGCAATGTCTCCCAGCTCAGTAATCGGTGTGTTGACTCACCACTAGAAAACTAGAACAACACTCAAATTTGTCTGTCATCTTGGTTTGAAAGTAATCTTTCTGATAGATCTCAATATGTAGTTTATAATAATAATTCCTCCAATTTTTCTTCTATTACACAGCGTACCACAAGTTTCTATCCTAGGTCCTCTACTGTTTTTTAATTTACATTAATGATCTTACACATTCAGCTGCACTTCGCAGTTAAATGAAAGGCCTTCCCGCGTGGGTTTTTTAACACGGACCTGGCTTGCTGCCGACTCTGTCGGCAAAAAAAAGAAGAAAAAAGTAAGAGGGGTGCGGTTAATACACAAGGGCGGTTTATACACCGTTAATTACGGTATGCATTTCCAAAACAGAGACATGATCAAGAAGTGCCTCAAAAAAGTAAAAACCTTTAAGTGACTGGTTTTACCATACTTGTTTTTCCCAATAGACTGTAGTGTTATGAAAACCGTTTGGCAAACGCAAAATTTGATTTTGATTTTTAATCATAAATATCTTGATAATTAGACAGGTGATCTGCTTGTAAAAGTCATGGGGTTCCTGACTGACCTAAATGTTTATAATTATTATTGCAGCATGAGCTAAATCAAGGATTTTTTAAAAGGATCTAAGAGTAAAGACAAAGTTACCGGATCCCTTTAAGAATACAAATGTTGCATTGCCAGCCAAAGAAATCCTCGGACAGATCATCATAGATTTGGGAGGGAATACCCACACAATTGATGTGAAGCCATTGGTTACATATGCACCATAGTACACCATAATCCCTTTTGATTATTTTTTTACAAGTTTCATATAACAGGCACATGGGTATTTGTAGGCGCTAAAGTCAATACGTAAACAATTCAAATTACAGTTAAAAAGAAGAAAAAAATTAAATACAGCCTGTCCGAGTCCTTCAATTTACTAAAAACCCGGTTAGGAACAAGGAGATCAACCTATCGTAGACCATGTCATTGTATTTGCAAAGATAATTCACTTATAGCAGTGCATGATGAATGATGGGAACAGGAGAATAAGTCTGGTATTTCAATCATTGATTGTCATTTGAAGCACTGACTTGTTCAAGGAGAGCTGTCAGTAGAGGGATTAACGATCAGAGAAATCCTAGAAATGTCCCCTGAAAAAGAAGGCTCTTTATATGTCCTCATATTTAAAATATGAGAAATAGTTGAAAAGTTTGGACCAAACTCTCATGCCACATGAGGCCTGCCTTCATCAGCTCGAGTTTGCCAAATAACCCGCTATTTTCAGACTCTGGATAGTATCACAAACTAGCTCGTACAGACGCAAATTAGCCCGCTATTTCCCAAATAGCGGGATATTTTGGAAACAAGACCAATATTTCTTAGGATATTTCTCGATCAAATATCCTGCTAATTGCAACTGTGGGCTGATGAGGATGCAAATTATCTGGCTAATTTTCGATTGGGATAGTTCAAATAGCGGGTTATTTTGGCAAACTCAAGCTGATGAGGACAGGCCTACCTGTAGTCCCATGTGCACACCTGTTACTCTGTTTAGTACATGTGATTTCACAGACAAATTATTCAGTTTCTTCTAGTCATAATGACCATTACAAAGCCTCATTTTATACACCGATTCCTACATGCACATACCACATCATAGACCTATGAAGAGTACCATAGTAAGTGGCTTGGACATCACATAAGCCAAGGATATAAATAAGGACCCTCTTGGCCTCCTCTTCTACATCATTTTGAAAAGAATAGCTCCATTCTTCTTGAAACAAAAACAGATACATTCGATATGAAGTTTAGTCTCATGGAAGATATTTTGCCTAATCTAACAATGAAACAAAGCAAGACAAGTCATAAGTATTAAAGCTATTGAATTTTCATTCATGACAGGTGTTCAAAAACACAGGAAGTGCTAAATAACCACTTTGAATGGTGAATCTAAAGTTCTGATAGACAGGATTACTAATATATTCAAATTTTATGCAATTTTTTAATATTAAAACAAATATTGTTCTTGAGAACCTGAAAATTTGCCCCATGCTTGTCCGAAATAGAAACAACTTATGTATACAGACTGGATTTGTATTGTAGTTCATTCATTAATAACAGGTTAATGGAATAACTCATTGCTAGGTCCCCAGGAAAGAAACATCCATAAATTTGAATATGTTAGTAAAACCGGTCTATTCTATATTTCTTGTTTGCAGACCTCGATGGAAGGTGAAGCAAAGGATTTAGCTGGATCCCTGGCTAAGACGGACATTGTGATCATCGCCGGCGGAGATGGGACGGTAGCAGAGGTCATCACTGGACTACTCAGAAGAGAGGATGAGCAAGCGGTCAGTTCAAACTGGACATTGGGCATTATACCGGTTGGAGCAACAAATTCTTTGGCCAGGATATTGTACTCGGATGCAGAGGTCGATGTCAGGTAAACATTATCGAAGGGATGGAATTATAACTAGACATGTCATACTTGTTTGGAACAAGTATTTTTTAGAAAATGCTTAAAATGTCCTGAAACGTATGCAAAATGAATTTGAAACGATTTGAAGCATTATAAAATTTTGCGCGCGCATTGATGCGCGGGCGTATGTATGCGCAAACGTTTTTTTACCTGAAATTGACCGGACAGATGTTGACCTTGGTAATGATAAATATGAATGAGAAATGACTTTCTGTTATGAATATATGATCATGAGTTCATTTTCACAAAATGGCGCCTAGATGACGTCATCAGTCAAGGTCAAGGTTGAAAACGTTATTGCTATTTCCCTATATACCTATACATATGTGTGCCAAATTTCAAGTTATTTGATTGATCCATTTTCAAGTTATCTTGCTAACAAAAAAGTTGTAAGAATAAAGAAAAATAAATAAATAAATAAATAATAAAGGCAATTTTAACAAAATTATAAGGTGGTCTGTACGATATACAGCCCACCTGATAAATAAATAATAAATAAATGATAAAAACGATTTTAACAAAAATATAAGGTGGTCTGTATGATATACAGCCCACCTGATAATGAATTAAATTATGAAAGCACTGATGGAAGGTTTAGGTTAGGGAGATCAATAGATTAATTTTGTTGTGTAACAGAAATGCCATACAAGGTAATGAAAATGGTTTTGATTTGTATATAACTCAAGTTCTTTTAAATATTTTTGACTGTATTACAGATGGATGTGCAATTCTGCAATGGCAATCATCAAGGGTTTCACCAGACAAGTAGATGTCATGTCAGTACAGGTGATATAACATTTGAAAAATAATAATAGGAATATTTACAATACAAATGTTTATTATACAGTGCGTCCCAGAAAAAAATGAAACCGAGAACTTCAATGTTTTATCATAACTTAATCACAATTATAATTAATAAATGACACATATTTGGAGAGCTTAGATACTCCTCTTTCATTTGGTGCAACTCATATGATGCATATTTCACGCATGAGTGATTAAAAGCAATTTGAAGAGAGGAAACCAAAAAGTCATTTGGTGGGCGGTATCTGAATTTCAAGGAGAAAATCACATTTCTAGAAAGTTCAATTTCTGCCCTGTCATATGACACCTCAATCAGGAAAACAAGCTACATGTAGGAATAACAAAGTTCTATTTGTTTAAAATTGCTTGCATTTCCATAATTTGATCAAACGAGTTCGTTTTCACTGGCTACCTGCCGTAGCAACAAACAGAGTTGACAAAAGACTTAACTCCATTACGTTGAAGATCAACCAGGCATCAGGTCTTTCGTCTTCTTTGTGCATGGCTGATCGCCAATGAAACAGAGTTAAGTCTTTTATAAATGTAATGCTTCCTGGGAGAAGTTTCAATTATTAAATATATTTGTGGCATTCCACCCAGTAAATAAGATCGATTGATCGATCTGTATCAATAAGGTCGATTGATCGACCTGTATTGAAAAAACACAAGTCACAAGTTTTTTTTCTGACTTGTTTTTTATAAATACAGGTCGATCAATCGACCTTATTGATACAGATCGATCAATCGATCTTATTTACTGGGTGGAATGCCACAAATATATTTAATAAGAGTTAAGTCTGTTGTCAATTCTGTTCGTTGCAACGGCAAGAAGCCAGTAAAAACGAACCAGTTTGATCAAATTATGGAAATGCAAGCATTACTTTAAACAAACAGAACTTTGTTATTCCTGGCTCATTTTTCCTGATTGAGGTGTCATTGAGGTGTCCCTTTCTAGAAATGTGATTTTCTCCTTGAAATTCAGATACTGCCCGGCAAATGACTTTTTTGTTTCCTCTCTTCAAATTGCTGTTAATCACTCATGCGTGAAATATGCATCATATGAGTTGCATCAAATGAAAGAGGAGTATCTAAGCTTTCCAAATATGTGTCATTTATTAATTATAATTGTGATTAAGTTATGATAAAACATCGAGGATTCTCGGTTTCGTTTTTTCTGGGACGCACTGTACAACTCACGCCTAGTCACATGTGATTAATTTACTGGGACTATTCCACGTTTTTTCATGAAAGGTGTGCGAAGGTATAAAGTACTATCCAACAATTTTTAAGTAAACGATGTGCAGCAGTGCACCCAGAGGTTAGTGCGCTTATCAGGTGTTGGCCTATACCTGCATAGCACTGCCCGCAAACACGTATAGAGGTTAGGTTGCTTATCTCTGTTTGCACGCTAAAGTAAGCCGATTTTAAAATATTAAACTTTGGGGTTTTTGTCAGCTATAATGGCACAAGACTATTTGAAATGGATCTTTATTTTCATCAAATAACAAGGATCTATGAGCTTTGTTGTATAACACTTATGATGCATGTTTTAATTCATTCAGTACAGGATCAATCTGCTCTTGTTGAGGCTGTTTATGCAGCTACGTCAGATGATTTTGTACGATAGATGCATACAGCCTCAACTCGAGTGCATATATAGATTGTATGATGAACTCAAAAACTCATTTGCACAAGGGTGAAGAAGATGATGGTGATGGTGATGATGGTGGTGATGATGATGATGCTGATGGTGGTGATGATGATGATGGTGATGGTGATGGTGATAATGGTGATGATGATGGTGCTGGTGATGGGGATGGTGACAATGATGATGATGATGGTGACATTGATGATGATGACAGTGATGATGATGATGATGATGACGATGATGGTGATGGTGATGATGATGATGGTGATGGTGATGGTGATGATGATGATGATGGTGACATTGATGATGATGACGGTGATGGTGATGATGATGATGACGATGATGGTGATGGTGATGATGATGATGGTGATGGTGATGGTGATGATGATGATGATGATAATGGTGATGGTGATGATGATGGTGATGGTGATGATGATGATGATGGTGATGATAATGATGATGATGGTGATAACAAGAACAAGAACATCATTGATAACATTTTGCTTTATGTTTATACCTGAAAATTTGTCTTCTAAAATTGATTTCATTCCCTCCACCCTCCCCCCCCCCCCACCCCTCAGGATGAAACACACGGTCGCAAGTCTTATGCTGTGAATAGTATTCAATGGGGCCCATTGCACGATGCCAATGAGAAAGCTACAAAGTGAGTGTCAACGTTTAATGGATTTTATAGTGTCTGTTTAGGAATAATCTGTCATTTGGTCTGGCAGCTATTGTTCTGAACGTTATTTCATCATTGACATTGGGTTAGAGTTAGGATTGCAATTGAGATTCATTCTTGGTGTAGTATTAGGTATATTGTTTCGTCGGGGGTCGAAGTTTGTAATTTGATGATATTATAATAACAGTAGCACTGAAAGCCCAAGTCCACTCCAAAAATAACTTATTTTCAATAGAAGCAGAAAAATCAGACTAGCCAATCAAAAATAGTCTGAGCAAAATCGGATAACTAATAAGAAAGTTATGAATTTTTAATGACATGAAAAACTTTCAAAATCACTAGAGAAATTGGCAACTCACTCATGAGTCTGTGATGTCATGTCCTCACTATCCACTAATTATTTTCTTTATATTGATGATATAAATTTCCTATTTTCTCTGTAAGAATCTTATTCTTCACACCAGCATCCAAGTTCGATTAATTTTAGTAATATGTTTTTGTGTGGATGCACTAATATAGAGTAATTTTTTGAGTGGACTTGTCCTTAAAGATTGCACAAACTTTTCTTATATTCATGTATTATGTTACTTCTGTATATTCATACATGTAGCTGCACTATACAAATGTAACTATTATGATTATTATTGTTATTATTATATACAAGGCGCTTTCTCATGCCAAAAAAGTTCACTAATTTTGTGAGTGGTTAGGTTTGACAAATGTTTTATGCTGCAAGATGAATCACAACTGACCCAACAGTAAACCGTTGCTTTTCAAGGAAGTTTCTTGCTGTGCAATTGATGTTATTTACAAATCACAAAAGTTTCTGGTTTACAGTCCTACGTTTTTGATATTTTTTTTCTCCAGATTTTGGTATTTCGGACCTCTGAAGTATAGGTTCAGCTACTTATGGGCAGGTCTGACCAAGGTATAGTTATCTAGAAATATATTTTTGTAAGAATGAAACATTCTGTATCAGAAAATAAGCATTGTTAATTTTTACAATATTTTGACAAGTCCATTTTATTTTTTCCTGTTGTGTCCTTAACATTGCTGAATGCATTTATGGAATAGTAGTTTCTATTTAGTAAAATGGTTAGTAGAATCGCTCTATGGCAGGGGCATCATTTTCGACTGCGCGCAGTCGGAGGTCCATCTAGTTTTTAATAATCAAAAAAGAAGATTATCTGGTCAAGTGATATAATCTAATGCATACATGTACCATGTTAAAGATTGCTTGTGTGTCTGCCTATATCTACATGTATATAATAAATACAGCTTTAAAGCTAGCTTTTACAACCATCTCTAGAAATGGAATTCAGTTTTTCTCTTTCAGTTTTTTAGCTCTAAGTAACTCCACTGTTTATCATGCAATAGCTAGGATGCATAGACCAGCACAATAATAGTTAAACCAAATGCAAACTGTCAGAAGTCACATTCCTTGAAAGTATAGCTTAAATTTAATGTGGAGACCACATTATGCATGTGTATTGCTGCGAGAAAATTAATTTTATTTTCTACTATTGCTGAAAAACCCATCTACTTCATCTATATTTAACCAAAATCATATGGCAGTGACGGTAACATATATCATATAATACCATATAATTGTGTAGGGTACTTTTCATTGATAATGTGAGAATTTATTTCTGTCATTACCAGTACTCAAGATGACCCTTTAAACCTATCTCTTATCAACGTGCTAGGTGTTTCCAGCTCAGGTCAAAGGTCATGCGTCATACGGTCACCCGAAGGAGATCCCCGAACCAGTCGTTCCAGAGAAGCTCTGGTGGTGGACCAGACTCGTGAATAGACTCTGGCCCAAACAAGTGGAACCAGGTACTAATTTGTCTAGGATTACAGTCCTGTCTGTGTAGTAAATCTATTCTTGATATTATTTGCTCTAGTATCTTCAACTTTGATATATGACCCCTAAACGTGATCAATTTTTTCTTATAATTTTTGGTTGCAGTACTTGAGCTTGAAACCAACAAGATTCAGGGTCTATATAGTGGGCCAGTGAAAAGTGAAATGACCAACACATTTGAGAGACAAAATGAAATTTAGTAGAAAGTATACTGCTGTTTTGCGTTTTTTTTTTTTGTTATTTTATTTTTTTAATATTCTATCTCCTCATATTTGAATGTGGAGCCTACACTTATGGCAGGTGTATACATGCAGGCTTTAAGCCAAGATAAAAAAAACTGGCTGTCCAGAAGGTGCCCATCAAGTGATGTTGGAAGGGGAAGAAAAAAAAAAGATGTCTTCCACTAGAAATTGGCGTCGTTTACATGTAAATGCCCAGACATCATCCTGGCTATTAAAAAACCTGTAAGCATATACATTTATATGGCCAAATGCTTTTATGGTTTGAACAGAAATCGTAGGAGGCTATTCTTTGCTCAGAGTGAGCATGAGTTCCAATATCAACAAATATAATGGCATACAGCTCAATGGTGCTCCCATTATCCATTTTTTCTTGCATAATTTGTTCCGAAGGATTTATTCTGTGGGCCCATGGAGGGACATATATCTACAATTAATTTTACATTTCCCCCTTTTCCCCTCTCCTTCTTAGTACCCTCATGTCAAAGGTACTTTGTCCCACTTGCAGGCCACAAAAATGAAAAGGTTAAATTCCACTGGCATTTGAAAGATAATACTAATTTAGAACTTTCCTCAAAACTAAAGGGCTTGAAAATGTCTTTTTGTGGGAAAATAACGATGGTTAGTTGTGGAATCGACTTTAAGGATTGCAATCCTATTAGTAAGTAGTCTGATTTTTAGACCCTTGTACCAAATGGTGTACTTTTTTGTGCTGCGCAAAGATTCAATCAGTTTAATTTTGGCTGTAACAAGAAGTTGGTTATTGATGTAAACAAACGCTGATGTATAAAGAGTTGCAATTGATCTGAATCAATCACAAGTTTTGCAGTTCTCTATCTCTATGTACATAGTTGTGATTGATATCAATCACAAAATAATTACGATTATAAGACAGCGCCCTGGTAGAGGTTAAAACAAATTAGTAATTTTGTGAGTTTTCATCTTCTCTTTCTTACCCTGTGATAAATACCATTACAGCATCAGCATCCAATGGAAATTGTTGCTCTTGAAATGTCCTATTCCATACAAATTCAAAAATATTTTACAACTTTTGACCAGGTTATGATGTCCCATGGTTTTGTAGTCATATATACATGTATGCATGATGTATTTAAGTGCCCAGTGCTGTGATTGTTTGTGATTTTCACCAAGATTTTATTCTTTCAATTCTGATGATTCAAAAACCTTATACTGTGGAAAAACATTCCCACTGTGTTTATGATAAACCATTCAAGCTATCAAACTTGATAGCCGGCTCTTTCTCGCACAATGTAAATCTGTGACTTTAAGCCCATGATTATCTCTGATATTTCTACTGTGAAGAACCTGAAGTACAAGAGGTGGAAGAGGAAATATTGGAAGAACTGGACATCTCAACTGTAGAACTGTGTATCATGACGGACAACAGTGGAAGCAAGAGAGAGGTATGATGCCTTCCTAGTACCTGCAGTTATCAGAAAGAAAGTTATTTTATCCACTCAGACAGAGTTGTGAAAAGGTTTTACAGCACTACAGGCGCATTCTCCCCTTAAGTGTTCACAAAGCGATGTTTATGTTGCTGGCAGTACCAATCTGTTTTCAGCCTTGTTTCACCTGATAGATATGAGGTTTATGAAATCAACTTATTCTTAGGAGTCATTGGCTTGAAATATAAGGGGTCGGATCGAGGCTTTGCAAAATGTGTCGTGCCCTCAGGAAACTATGCAAGAACTTCCAATGAATGATGATTCTGTTGGAAACATCAGGGCAGCATTTCATGAGACCGTCACAAGTACAAGTCTGCGGACAACCCATTGAAACGTGTTTATTAAATTTAACACATGTCTGTGAACGTGTACCTACGACGGTTTCGTGAATCGATGCCCAGGAATTTTTATATGCACTTAAAACTCGTTTAGGACCCTCCAGACATATCATTCACAGAGATCACCTGTCTATATTTAAATAGAGATCAAACATTTTGTTTCCCTTGAGGTGAATTTGCCATTGATACACAAAGACCACCTGCCTGTAAAGACTGCCTTGCTTCTCTCCTTTGACAAATGAAAATGTTATATTTAAAACAAATTGTGAAATATTTTGAGTTTTTGAAATGCTTTTATTCCAGGGCCCACCTGCTTTGCAGCTTAGAGTTGGACCTCAAGAGTTGTCAAGAACAGACTTCGTGAAAGAAGGGTATGTATTTTTCACTTTTTCCCTACTTTAAGGGTACTATGTCCCATTTGCAGGCCAACAAAATGAAAAAGTTAAATTCCAACTGCATTTGAAAGATAATACTAATTTAGAACTTCAATAAAAAAGGTGGGGCTTGAAAATGTCTTCAAGTGGGAAAATAACGACTATAATACCCCATTCACAGTGGTTTTGAAATTTGTAGCGGCGTTGTAGCGGAGCGGCGACACCGCCATAACACCGCTACAAATGCATTCACAGTAGAAAAGTTATCCCGCTGCAGCAGCGGGATAAATATCATGTACCCATTCACGCTGCAGCGGGTGATTTTTATTACCTCCGTAACAAACACGTGTATGCATGGCTCATGACCCGCGAGTGACCCCGATATGACCGGAAATACTCCAGCGCGGGGTTTTCGATTGCTTGAAATTGCGCGCGCTAGCTGTACTTTACACACTCTTCCTCATGTAGCTAGCTCGATTTAGCTTTTTGTATCCTCGATCATATTACTTTTTAAAAAACTAGCATTTTTATTGCTTCCAGTCAGAATATTTTAATTTTTTGAAGTGTGAAATATTTTTATTTGGATAATTATAATATCTACATAATAATAAAATCAATTTGAATCCACTGGTTACCGGTACTTTATTTCTATTTCACTTTATGTTCCCCATTGCTGGAGAAAAGAGGTCAGTGATAGGTAAGTAAACAAATCACACGTGTTTGTCGCGGTGTTATAGCGGAGAGCCTTCACACTGAGTAAACACCGCGACAGCAGCGGGACTGTCCCGCTGCTGTAGCTAGGCGAACCTAGCGATAGTTTGTCGCGGCGTTATCGCGAGGCGGTGTTATCCCGCGATAGTTTATAACGGGTCCGAGCCTTCACACTTGTTTCAAGCTTAGTTCGATGGCATTTAATGTCAGACGACAAAGGATAGTACAGTCAGATTGGTATAGTAACGAGAGAGTAGCTTTTAATACTGATGGGGCCATCTGGCGCCCTCTTTTGATTGAAGCTTTACATGTGTTCTTCTAAAATCTCAGAAACAATATTGACACAACACTGAAGACAACACCGCGACAGCAGCGGGACAGTCCCGCTGCTGTCGCGGTGTTTGAGGCCACTGTGAATGGGGTATTAGTTGTCAAATCGACTTTAGGGCTATAGAGCCCAAAAGTAATAGTCTTGATTTTCAGACAATTGTACCGAATGGTCATACCTTTTATGCTGCGCAAAGATTCAATCAGTTTAATCTTGGCCATCACAAGAAGTGGGTTATTGATGTAGACAAATGCTCATGTACCCTTTACAACTTTTTTCATGTATGTTATTACCAAAGAAGAAAAAAAGCCAGTCAGTCACTCAATAGTGTCTGACAGTGAAGTCTAGCAAGTAAACGTGTTTCCTTGCATAATTTGAATATGTGGACACTGCTAACGTTTAAATTTCACAGATAGGACATACGTGACGTATTCATGATTCCGGCAAAGTTCTACAGAATTTGAGGTTGGCTGCAAAAGGGACATAGTACCTTTAACCCTTACTGTACTGGGGGGGGGGGGGCCTGGGAGGCCCCCCCCTCGACATTTTCGGAGATTGCGCCGCAACCGCTTGGAATTTTGAATTGTCGTTTCATGACTTTTTTCCCTCAAGTCTTACGCACATTTTGATACCATTTTCGTCAAAATCGGATATACCTATAAGGCGTTACATAACAATTAGTATGCGCATGTCATCAAAAAAAAAATAAAAAAATTTTAAATCCATCAAAATTTGCATAAATTATCATTATTAATTACATTAAAATAACTTTTTTGTGTTAGAAAAGAAGTTTCATATGAATAATGAGTTTCAACATTTAAAAAGTGGAGTTTGACACGTTTTCTGTAAAATGCATAAAATTAGCGCATTTCGCATAATTAATTAGGCTAATGACAAAAATTTGCATATTCGGAAAAAACTAATTATACCATCTTGTTCCTTACGTAAATATCTACAAACATGCAAATTTTCGTGTTCATCGGACAATCGACGGCCGAGATCATAGGGGGGGGCCTCCCAGGCCCCCCCCCAGTCAGTGGGTGTTCAAAATAGCCCAGTACAGTAAGGGTTAAGAAGCAGCACATGTTAGATGTCTGAATATATAGGCCCTTTACGTATTGCAACCAAATTCATGCATATACCTTTGTGAAGCTCCTTAGTAGGAATTATTTCATTCTCCTGTTACAAGTAATTGTATTTCTATAGTCAGAATGCACATTGCATAAGTTTTGTTAGGTAGGGCAAGCCATAATGTTTGTCTTACATAGCAACAACTTATGTATGCAATTTGAATTCTGACTATTGAAATACAATTATTTGTAACAGTTGAATGAAATGATTTGTAACAAGGCACTTAAAGGCGAAGTCCACCCTGATATTAAAATATTTTGAATAGAAGCAGAAAAGAGAAACAATTGAGTCAGAGTTAGAGAAAAGTCGAACAACAGAAATAAAAGTTATGAATCTTTCAAAATCATGAAAATCATATAATCTTTTAAAAAAATTGACAATGCACACAGAAATTGTGATAACATCCCCTCACAATTCACCACCATCTGAATGACAGAATGACCCAAAATCTCAATTTCTATGAATGTGAAAGGAATAGTAGCCCCATCTTCTTCTTTTTTTTTGGGGGGGGGGGGTGCATAAAAGAACACAGTTATCCATGATATATGATCGAGATAGGTATGAAGAAAATATATCTTTTCATCAAAAAGTAATTTAAGGAAATTTCTTGCATTTAACAAAGGATAAAGTGTGAGGGGTGACATCATATTTAGAGACTGCGTGGCCACTTTGACTCACAGATTTAAAGTGTTTTGTTTTTAATATCTTGTCCGATTTTTCTCAAAGTACCTTCACTGATCAGTTCTCTTTCTTCTCTTCATATTGAAACAAACTTATTATCAGGTTGGACTTCCCCTTTAACAAAGATTTGTGCATTCAATTCAATTACATTACAAAAATATTTATTGGGCAGTGTTCATTCGGAAGTCCACAGTCTTAATGTCAGGTGTGTTATAATCATGTTTCACTGTCCATATCGGGATATATGTCTCAATCTGTATCTGTACTGACTTTGATCTCATTTTGCTGTTGCTTAATATTGTGAGATCTCTGTAGTTTGGCATTGCAAGAAAATACAATGTAGATCTATGTGCATGTATATGTAAGTATGGAAAGCAGTAGGTGATTGAAAAAATAAACTTCATAAGAATTTCATTACACAGACTTTACAACTCATCCTTCATCCTTCATGCACCGATGACCTTTTTATACTGAAATCTTCTATTCATTCATATGCTACAAGAAATGCAAATAGTTTCCATATACCCATAGCTAAGACTTCTTTTTTTTTTTACAAAAAACGGATACCCTTCAATGGACCTATGGTATGGAGTCATCTTCCACCTGACATCAAAAATTGTTCTTCATTGTATTCATTTAAGGCTAAGTTAAGATTATTCCTGTTAAGTAACCCATCCTTTACAACATTCACATATAGGTAGATGCACCCCCCCCCCTTGTCTTTGATATTTTTTCTCCCTCTTCTTTCTCGTTTTTGGTACCACCACATCATTTTACCTTTAAAGTTTTAATTGTATAATTTATTTATTTTTTATTATTGGGGGTAGTCCTCAACAAATCATTTTTGATTTTTGACTACCCCTTCCACAACATTTGCTGATTTTTTCTTTTTAAAACATACATTGCTCCAACTGGAGTCGTTTTATATATATATATATATAATGTACATGTTCTATTATTGTATTGTATGTTTTATTTTTATTTTATGTAGCTCCCTATGTTTTGCATTTGTGGAGAAATAAATTGAACTTGAACTGCTGGGAGGGCAGCTTCTGCAACACCAGAAACTTTCTAATGATAGCCATTCTATTTAAGTCACACGAAAACTAAATTCTTGTGTTTTGATAAATGTACCAAGATGAAATTCAATTATTTTCAATTATTTTGTGGGAGAGAGTTTCATGACGAAAGTTTCTGGTCTTACCGCACTTCATAAGCTCCTGTACTATCTTTTGACATGGCTAGAGACTGATAAAGTTGCATGTACATGTAGCTGCACACCTGCCAACCTTTCCAAATAATCCAGAATATTCAGATTTTCTGGATTTTTAGTACCTGAAAATTTGAATATTCAGATTTTTCAAAATTTCGTGTATTGCCAGTTACACTGCCGCTGCAAGTGCGATTTCATATTTTTTAAGGCATACCGTGCTAGAAATTCCTATTTCTTATTTTCAAATGAGGCAGGTAAGTAGCTGGGTTCATGGGTTAATGGAATTATGTTTAAGTGTCAAAATAAGGTCCTTGTCTCCAGGTGCAGACTAACATTTTAATTTTAGATTTCCTGACTGTATCTATCTTATCCTTTTCTTGTCCACTGTACAGTTGGTCTAGAGCCAGCAAGCAGGATCACATTGAGACGTTCAAGGTGACTGATATCCCTGCAGGAGAAATTCATCTCAAGCCTGATCTAGTAGAGGTAGGCAGTTTGTTGGGGCATGTGGTGGCGTAGCCATGGAATGGAGAGAGGGGGGAGGGGTGTCCATAAAGAGAAAACAGGAAACGAAGATGGAGGCAGGAAAGAAGGTACAATGAGAAGATGAAACCAGACTCCCCTCACCTCTCTCGAAGGCATTCCCATCTCACATTTCATCCTCCTATAATGGTGCCCCCCCCCCCCCACCACCAAAATGACCCTATTATATTTCCTGACCTACACCGGTGTGGTTATTGTGTGATACTTGTATGCTTTTGTTAACTTGAATGTTACAACATTTGATCACTTAATTGATTTTGTTATGTGCTGTGCTAATTTTACAATGGCCTTGACATGTCAAGGACAAACCATCTTTCAGCCATTCGAAAAGATAATCCACTTTGAATCTTTGAATCAGGCCAGCTAATATTTGCTTATGTTCTTGTAAAGCCTTATGTGTCTTATTATTATTATTATTATTATTATTATTATTATTATTATCATGTTGCAGGCAGAGGAAGCCTGGTATACCATTGACAATGATCGCTTCGAGGCCATGCCCATCGTCATCGAGCTACTTCCGTCCAAGCTACGCTTCTTCACCGATGCTCTACCCCAGGCAACACAGCTCAATACCACCACAAGATGACATGCAGTATGCATGCATGGGTGAAGGAAAGTGATATCAAACTTGGTGCTTTGATTCTCCAACATGGATAGATAATCCAGGGTCCAGTCTGGCAAAGAGTTGCAATTGATTACAAATAATGTGCAGTAGACCATTTTCTTAATGTAATCAAATTTAATGCACAAATCTTTGTTTCACTTGAACCGGGTGGTCCTTGTATTAAGCCTTTGGGAATGAGAGAATTCAGTAGTTCAAAGGTCAAGTGCCTTGTTACACGTTATTTCATTCACGTACCTGTCACATATAATTGTATATAATATCGAAAGGCAAAATGCAAATTGCATCCATTTATTGTTGCTAGGTAGGAAAAACATTATGGCTTGTCTATCTAACAACACGTAGGTATATGCAATTCCCATTCTGACTATCGAAATACAATTTTTAGTAACGGCTAGGTGAATGAAATAATTAGTTACAGGGCTCTTAACCCTATCTAGCTTCTAAAGCCCCCCCACCCCACCCCCCTCTACATTTTTTTGCGAAACTTTTTTATCAAAAATAATCTTGCGCTGAAATGTTATGCCTCTTTTCTTTAGAGTCTTTCGCATCTTTTGAAATTAATTTTTAGAAAATCGGACCTACCCTTACAAAGTTACGTAACCTTTTGTCTTTGCATGTCAGCTCAAAAAATTGCTAATTCTCGTAATTTCTGTACAAAACATATGGAAATCTTTTTTTCTCCAAAAGAGATAAAAACGTTGGTTATTTGGTCTGGGTGTGTGTGTGTTTGGTTTTTACAGACCTGTATCAATCAGATATGATTATTTACGTCTGGGGACCGACCTTTAAACGTCACCATCCGAAAGACGTGACTCAGTTTCGAACCTGCATCCTCGGCTGAATCATTTGTAACTTCCATTGTTAGCTGGATTACAGGTGCACGCCACAATGCCTAGTTTATTTGGTCTTGTTTATAGTCTAGGTGTTTATTTTGGGAGTCAAACTAGTTGAATTTTAAATAAAACAACAAAACCAATAAAATACATACGGTAGGTTAAAAAACACAGAAATACCTAAGAATTTATTAAAACAATAGATAACATAGGAAACACCTGGCTCTTCCAATTTTTGTTGTTGTATTATTATGTTGTATTATGGTCTAAAGAATATATGTGGTGAAAACTAATGTTTAAATTTGAAGAATATATGATTTATGGGTAAAAATGTGGATTTATTACCTTATTTGCATAAATTACCATAAATATGCAAATGAGTAAAATTACCATAGTAATCTATACACTTCACTTGACATGCAAGCAAATTCGATCATAGCATTGTGCATTAAACTTGAATGCCTAACAAAATTGGCGTATAGATATCAAATGCAACTCTTTACTAAAAAGCTAGGAGATGCAATCGATATCAATAATTGCAAATTATTTGAAATCAATGGCAACTCTTCCATAAGACGGGGTCCAGACGTACATGCAGTAAAGCCACATTGACTTTTGCATGCAAGATGGTTTAACATCAGATGGTTTAACATCATAGAGCCACTCATCCTCTCCAAGCGCTATAGTTCTCCTGAGAACTATATGCTAAGAAAGATAACAAACAGTCCTTTTCAGGACTACACACCCCCAATAAAGATTACCGAGTCAGAGTCCTTTTCAGGACTCCTCAATCCTCTCTCTCTATCTCACATGGTGAACCTGCAAGACTACTATATATCTACATCACCATGCAAGCCGACACTTACAAGCAGCATCTAAGATGGTTTAATACGCCATGTCATGCAGTGTGGCCTGCCAATGCGGGACACTGAGAGGTGTAGTCATGAAGTGGGAGTGCACTGTAGATGGTATAGTGCATGTCAATCAATCATTTTCTGAATTTTCCGAGAACTTGCCATATCCTTCGATCGAAGAAGCACAGTTCATAAACATTGCGCAACCTTTGTGCATTATTTTGTGACAATGAGTGATTTAAAGTTGGGTGTTTAGGGCTGGTGTTCGTTTTTAATCAACATGAACACCAGCCCTAAACACCGAAGAAGAAATCAGCTGGTGTTCAGGCTTTGACCAATGAATACCATCAACTTCCGATAGCTTGTGTTATTGATTTTGCAAAATTGTCTGCTGAAGAAATCTTGGTGGCTGGTGTTTATAATTCATTTACAAATGTCCTATTCACTAACACTAGGCCCTAGGGATTAACCAAATGTTGATTTCCGGTTCAGTGTAAGTGTTAAGCTATTGATATTGATATCGGTATCGGGCTGTTAATCAGCAAATTTTTAGCTAGATTTAAGAGCTCTTGACTGCCCTAAACACTAAAAACCAACTTGAAATCACTCAATGCCTGTTTTGATGCATCCATGGTGTTATGTATTTTGCCAACTGAACCTTAATACAGTACGACATAGCCCAAGCTGTTGATCAAGGCATATGAGTCGTTACAGGAGTGCGGGATATTTTGTGCAAGTTTAAGGGTGGCTTGAGAATCCATCATTAAATAAACACATGATAAAGCAGTGACATTGGTCAGCTCTGATGGCATCTTATGTATTTGTTCATGTTTCTCGCGCAAATTCAAAATATGGGCAAGTTCATGGGATTTCGTCATGTGCCCCGTGCAAGTTACCAATTATTGCCTTTGATGTAAACATTGAAGGTTTTGCTTGATAATGTGGTCTGATCTAATCTATAGGAGAGGCTTAAATTGACACATAGTACTAAAATCCTGGGACTCCGTCATTTCAGATTAATTTGCTCATACGGCCGTTAAAATAGTAAGCGGCTTGGAGCATATGCAGAATGATTTGGGGTGAGGGAGGGGTGGTTGCCTGGGAGCCCCCCCCCCCCCCCAGCAGTTTTGCAAATTGTGACTCAATTGTGTGTTTCTTTTGTTTTTTAACATCGCCTCATTAATTTTTAATGAAGGAAACTTTTCAATATTTTATCATTTTCAAGATTTCTCACATGTCTATAGGCTTAGATGTGGAGTTTTCTTTTTCCCCAATAATAATAGGCAAATGTGACAACGGTTTATCGTAAAAGGGCGTCGGGGCGTGTTTGATGAATATTGGAATAACGTGCGAGCTAGGCTTTTTCTTTATAGAGTTTCTTTATAATGTTTCAGGATTTTTTGTGTATGTGTGTCTGAATGCCCTGCTCGCTTTACACTGATTCCCTTTACAACGTTTCTTACTTTCTTTATCAGGTTTCAGGATAAACTTTTTGTGTCTGAATTGGCTAATAATTGAATTAGAATATATGAACGTGTATTAAAAGAAAGATCGCGTAAGTGTAAAATCATATTTTTTAATGAATTCAATCAACCTTATCGTTTGTTTTTTCGGATACAGGGTTTATTAAGTTGGACCTAAACAAGACTCCTGTTATGAATAGAAATACCTAGACCTGATTTAATTTATTAATCAGAAATTGCACCAGAGATGCGAGTATTGGGTGTATTGTGTCATGTCCATTGGCATATTCACCTTGGTTGAAATTCTATGAGAGAGAGAGCTATACAAATATATTATTCTAAGGATATGACAACCAAGCACATGTGAATAGTTCAAAAAAATGTTAAGTGTTAACACTGTCATTTTAAGTGACTTAAAAGAAGGTGAGTTTTCTGTGTATTCTAGTGTTTCAGCCCTGATATGATAAGATAGGTAAATCCCCTGGTAAGCAAAGAGTTTTGTTGTGTTAAGATAAAGGTTCCAGTATTTCTTGTGAAAAATCAGAGCAGGAGCAATTTAATGAAATGACACAAAGTAAATCATATACTTGTCTGGGTATTTTAATAACATGAAAGCACACGAATCAAAAGTCTGTGTAGTAATAAAACCAAGTGAAATGAACATATATGTTTTCTCATACTTTTACATGTACAGAGATGAAATATACAGTACAATCTGAATTCATGAATATTTTCGTTATAAAATGAAAGATACATCAACAGCTGGATGTAAATGACAGTTCCATATACTTAAAACAAAAATTGTTGCCTTTTTTATTTTCGCTCAATAAACTGCATTATTTACACATCACATATTGGTTCAGATATCCACAAAAATTTTAAAAGCTGGATTGCCTTTTTGAAGAGCGTCGTGCACAATAATTTTCTGAGTACCATTGTCGCGAATGAGTTTTAAAAAAAAATCAAAGATGGATTTACATTCTTTATGCAATACTTATAGGTACATAATCAGTTATGTAGTGGGTGACATGGTGGGGTAAAGGGCTTGCAGGTCAGCAGGAGCCAAAATAATCCTCTATTACGTACTTTCATGATTATAGATGTAAAACAAGGTAATATTTGATTTTGCTATACGTGAATTTCATTTACTATCAAAGGAACCAGCTTGATATTTCAACACTGTCACTATTAGTCATTACATGCATCTTAATTTTAGGTGCACTTTTCTGGAAACAATTAATAATCATCTTTGATATACTTGCCCATTTTTTAACAAATATTAAACATAACACAGTAAAAGCATATCAGAATAATGTGCAATTCATTTATTTACAAAATCGTTATGGATCAGTTATTTAAAGTAATCAGAAATGGAATTTTCTTTTCAAGCAGACGCATATTTATTTAAGATTCTCAAAGGAGTAATTGTGATTGTCATCTACAAGCCCAGCTTTGCAGCAGTCCCCTCCAGGACCAACCTGTTTTATATGCATGTTGTACACTGTGGACAAATATATTGTTACGTTTCATTGGTTTACTATGTACAATGCAATACCATGTAATTTATTTTATTTTGTTGTAAATGGAAATAAACGAAATAAATAAATTGTGTAATCTATACTCTTCCAAGATTTCAAAGATATTTGTATATATCATGGAATAAAATTAAGTTTATTTTTGTGTCACAGTATATCTTAAAGGCGTCGTTTAACAGTGTAGAATCTGAGATGCATGGCTCGACATGTTATCAGTGTCTGTGATATGGAGTAATATTGAAGCCCTCAAAAAATTGCGCTTCAAAATGATCATGAAGTGCCTCAAAAAGCGAGACCGGTTTTACCATACTCATTTTCCTCAATAGACTGTAGTGTTATAGGAAAACGCAACATGAAATTTCAATTTTCAATCATAAAAATCTTGATAATCAGACAGGCGATCGGCTTGTAAAAGGCATGGGGTTCCTGACTGACCTAAGAGTGTATAATTATGATTGTAGCATGAGCTAAATCCAAGATTTTGTTTCAGAATCTTAGACAAAGTTACCTGATCTTGTTTTAAAATCTGTTTTCATTTCTTCATTTACTTCATGACACCCTTTGCAAATTATTTTCAAAGTAATTTCAGAAATCTAAAGTCCTCATGCATGCCATGCATCTTAAACGATTCTCTACATAATTATATGAAGATCATTACAAATGATCAAAAGACAAAAAGATATATACACCCACTTTTACACTTTCCTTTGATATGTAATTATATACAGTAAAATAGTTGTATATATTGCATACCCACCATAGCTACAATGTGATAGAAAGAC